GCACCCACTCACTTGCACAGCTCGTATGCCCCAGCTACGCCCTACAACCGAAAACGCCACGCACGAAACCCTCGGAAAAAAGCCACAATAAGTGTTCCCACAAAGCACGGTGATCCCGGTTGAAACAGCGGCTCCATCTGTCCAGGAGGCATTCCGCAAGCTCTTGCAGGCGACGAGGGTTTACCGAACTTCGGAATCCAATTGAGGTCCGTCTGAAGTCGCAACCCAGCATAACGTCGACCCTTTTGATAGCCGGATCAACCCTAGAGTTACCCAGCTCCAAACGACGAACGACAGCCTCAGTCGTTCCGGATTTAATTGTTGAGGGTTCTATCGCTAGAGGGTTTAGGAATCAAGGCTCGGGGTTGAGGATTTACGGTCCAGGTCGAGTCGAGGCATGTGCTTTGAAGCAGCCTGGGGAAATGTTCCAGGCAGCTTTTCCACGAAGCCGCCTGCATGAGCAAGCCAGTGCGATCTTCAAATCATACGTTCGACGCGACGTCCTCGATGTCATACTGGACCCTCAGACAGAGGAACCCACCGCAGGGACAAACCGGTGCCCCGCAGCAAGAGACACTTGCATAGTCACGGAGAGGGCTTTTGGTTGTCTCTTTGTTTTTACTCCGTGTTTTGGAGGAAGTTTACACGTCTATCTCGGACCTGATATTGAATCAGAGAGAATACCATGAGAGGGTCCTGCTATGCTCTGCGCCCCTAGCATAAGCCCGGCGCCAGAGAAGTCACCTTCCTTGCTGTTTCAATGAGTTTCCTTGTGGATGTCCCTAAAGCCTAAAGCCTAAACCCTTAACCCTTGTCGAGTTTGTTTGAAGAGCCCTAAACCCGAAACAAACCGTTGGGTTGAGACCCGAGGATGACTTTGGGCTTTGCAGGATGTAGCATGCAATGATATTTTTTGAAGCGCTGCCATATAGAGGTCGGAAGAAGTAGTAAGATCCTACCCTGATACTAAGGGTTTAGGGAACGAAACCTTCACTGGACACCTCTCGAATCGCAGCATCGTCCCACTATGTTTTCGGCTCGCGTCCCGGCAACTACATGGTAAGAGAGGCTTCCAGACACTCTTAGACCCCTTTAAGGACAGAAACCCTAAACCCTAAACCCTAAACCACATTATCATAAGATGGATCTCCCCCATCGTTTGAACAAGATGGCTCAATTCAGGCATGCTGGAGGCTCTTTGGGGTCTAGGCGAGAACCCGAGCCCCTCAGACCCATAGGCCCCATAGTAGTTCCTTTTTGGGGTTCTCTTAGAGGACTCTAAATATGAGCCCCAAAGAGGAACTACTATGGGGCCTATGGGTACTTGGAGGATCATGGGAC